AATATTTTAGTGACCACGTTCTGAGCAATCAACCCTAATTGKGCATACGAGGCTCCAAATATATGTTCAGAATGAGGATAGCTTGCCATTGCATGWATCTGTAGTTTACTGTAGCTGGTACCAACACCAACACAATAGATATCCACTCCCATGTGACGTAATTGCATAGATGGTGTAATGACGTCATCAAGTGATCTTCCCGCGGTAACTACGACAAGTGCGTGAGGAGCACGTGGTCTACCTGATTCACGAAACAGATACTCGGCCGCMACGTGCAGRCCACGCCCAATGTAAGTGCCAGGMCCGTCCGTGCCGGGATATTGRACTGTATTTAGAGCAGAGAGGATATTTGATTTTTCGTAATAAGTGTGGAAATTGAAGATCACAAAGGACTCCAATGAAAATATAGCTACTCCAACTCTTGTCATGTAYGGGTTCACTGAGAAGGATTGAACGACATTCCAAACGAAGTTGAGAATYTGCTTGAAATTCGSTTCACCTCCAACAGGCATGGAGCCATCGATRAGAAACGCCAAATCCATGCACACTATAACGACCAAAGATTTACATTAATTAGAGTGAATGAGCGAGTGAGTGTGTTGAACTAAAAACTAACTATTTAACTGAAAATCAAAACTGAATACTGAACTATACACCCTTTAAATTGTACGTATTTCAAGAAAGCTTGTCGGAAGGCAAAGTTGTCGAACGGAGATTCTATCAAAATCGAAAGGACTATGGTTTTTGGTAATTAATCAGCCGGCAATAATAACTTATTTATTATGTAACATTGTCTATGGTAAACAATGGCTCAATTCACGAATTTCAAAAATGGCGCGATATGTCACGGTCGCAGACCAGGTCAGAGGGGACGAAGCACTTAAACGAGGTCGCAAAGGCCAGACTCCGTATAGTAAACTTCGATGGTGTCTTGCAAGACTGTTTTGTTATAAATAACATACCAATACATTTTTCAAGCTCTTGGACACTACATACATGCGATCTTCGTATTGATTTCTAGATGTAAGACCTTTGTGGTCTCGTTTCCATGATTCATCACTAGTCCACCGATACTGTCGGTCGTGAATTACCGTCATTTTTGAAAGTCGTGTATTCAGTCTTCATTTTCAGTCAAGGCGAACACAGTCCGTTTCGGTCATGCAATTCATCGCCGCTCGCCGTTAGAAATAGGCGCATGCACGCAAAATGTCTCCATCTGATCGTGTTAAATGCAGGAGTATAGTTGTAACATACCGTGCATTCCAGAGCTCGTTTCTTCACCACCAGTACCAATACCAACTCCACCTATTCCAACCCCTAACAAAATAAAATCTTAACTATCGAATATTGAAATATTTTAAAGAGTTTTTTTTAAATGTTGTTGATCTCATTCAATAGTCTTCTTCGCGGTTACGYGCGYCATCTTGAAAGGTAGCTGTGCCTCTACATCAATAGCACAGGGATCCGTGAAGAAGACTATAGACATTAACTRCAAATGGAGAGTTGTAAAGTGAAGACGCCCATGCATTATGTACTGACACGTGATCCCTTGGTTATAGCGGTGCAAACGGGTGTGGAGAAAACCTGGCGCACTAAGATAAACAATTGATGGAAATAAGTACATTTGGGCTGGTCCATAGGTAGGGCCATGGCCTTAGGTTAGGGTTTTTCCGCACCCGATGCATGGAGAATGATCTGAGAAGATTCTTGTTTGTCTTCGTTAAGCCCTAGTTGACGAGAATAAACTGCCAGAATTCTTATTATACAAGACCTAAACACTACAACTATATTTGTGTAGACTTCAACTTAGGTGGCAGTAAGCTTTGAAATCGTGATTTTTAGCGACGTTAATAGACACATCAAACCGAAAGGAATAGAACRTAGGTGAGTTCGAAATTATTTCTAAACTAGAAAAAATATTGTGATTTGAAAAATATTGTCATTTCAAAACCTCTCAGCTTGTGCTTTTAAAAGTCAAAATTATAATTTAATTTGGTAGTGAGCAGCTTGACAGGAAAGACGTTCTATTATGTATTCAAACGATACAAGAGTTTCAAGAGAAAAAGCCCAGAAAAATTACAAGATTGGTTCTAATCATATTTTCTGAACGTTTTAACATCTAAAGTTTATTAACTAAAGTTATATCAACATCACCAAGCGTCGTCAAGCTTACCAGTATGATTTCCTGTGTATGTYCCCCCGTKTTTARTTTTTGTAAGTGTAGCTTGACCATGAGAGCTCAATAAGCCCTCTCTCTGTAGACTCACCAGCAATGCGTGCCCCTCAGGTTTTTTCTCAAGTTCAGTGATGACCTGTTCTCCACCGACTTGTACTCCAACATTACTTGTTTGCAGACCACTAGAAATAACTTTTTGACCTTCCAAACTAAGCAGCCCTTGCGACTGTAGATTTTGCAATAAAGCTTGTCCTTCAGARGTTTTCTGAACTTGTGCTATGGCATTCAAACTGCTTTGTTTTAGGGTCCCAGACATTGYAAATTGACCACTGATACCSGACATTCCTGTTTSACTTSCCAYTGTTGTCACTTGGCCTCCGCCAAATCCTGTTGTTCCAGATAAACCTGTTTGACCGGTAATCCCTGAYACACCGACWGTACCCACTGAYAAACCTGWTTGACTAGTCATTCCTGYTTGAGCCCAAGTGCTACCGTGKCCTATCTTCTTCATAAAACCACCCTTTCCTTCTTCAAGCAGCATTTTTTGTCCTTCYTTACTAAGCAGACCTTGAGTTTGTAGGTTTTCAAGTAATACTTTCTGGTTTTCTTCTTTGAGTTTCTGTTTACCTTCGACATTYAAAAGCCCTTGTTTYTCCAGTTGTTGTAAAACTTCGTGTTTATTTTYTTCTGTTGCTTTCCCCTCGACCTTGTGCTGTTGGTCAACCACTTTTTCYCCCTCTACGTTCAACAAACCTTTCTCTTTGAGYTCCTCCATCATTTCTTTCTGGCCTTCCTCTTTCGCAATCTCTTTGGTTTCAGTACCTCCTGATAAAATCAGAAAAAGTTGTATGTCATGTCGAATATATCAGTTGCTTATAACGTCTCGCAAAACAATTAACATTGAATTCCAGAAATGATAATTACTGTTAGTTAGAAAAGGTTATATTATTAAGTTAGATTTTTTTTAGGAATAAGTTAAAATGCCGTTTCATGTAATATTTGTACTTAATATTAGTTGTTAATGTTAGTTCTGCTATGAATCAGCTGTTTGCTCAATGCTGTCCTTGTTGCTGTTGTTGATGTTGTCATATTTGTTTTTGAATATCTTTAAGGTCAKCAAAACCAGATCTTTTCTTGTATTGGGYACTGCGTATGCCATATGTGCTTTGGATTCATTTTGAAAGGCCTGCGCAGATACAAAGAGACCTTGATGAATTTTCCTCAAGGAATCAAAACCGCATCTTTTCATATGTTRARTATTGTGTATGCCACAAGTCCTTTGGATTCATTCTGAAAGGYCTACGCAGATGCAAAGAGATTTTCATCAATTAYCCTCGAGCCATCAAAACCGTATCTTCTCTTATATTGAGTATTGCGTACGCCRCAAGTGCTTTGGATTCATTCTGAAATACCGTCCCAGATGCAAAGAGACTTTCATCAGTTTCCAGATCTACTCAGTTAGCAGAATCAAGAGAGGCCATCACTTGTAACAGGAAAAAGACCTTGATACCAATTTTGCTTCTTCCCAGTCAGTTACAATGCATTTTCAGCGATGTYTGTCTTCAGTCCATTCATTTTTGACCATTTATTAAGCAGTGTGTTTCTTTCTGTTCCCGTTTGCAAAGACTTTGATACAGCTTCAAACTGCTATCTCAAAAGCAGTTATTCCTTTGAGGTCTTTTTGTTACCTGTATTGTTGATTTTGACTTTATTCAACACTGCGTTTAACCTGTCGCTTGCTGCAGCTGAACAACTCAATGTGCTTACCTCTATCCGACTTGACGAAGAATTCTAACGCCCAGATCTTTATAGAGTTGTTTATTGCCAAGCATAACTAGCTCATGAACGCTTTTTTTTCTTTTTCTTACGTACCTGGTGATGGCTTGWCAGCATAACCACTCTGCTTCTTTGATATTTTATCTACGAAGGGCACTGATCAAGAGAAAGACTTACGAAAAGAACGCTTTCTTAAAAAGTATGTTACAGCAATATGGCAAGTTGATACATATGGTGATTTTGGTCCTAAGGGAAGAGAGTAAGCTCTCACCAATGCATGAAAGAGAAGAGCACCTCTTCATATGTAATTAGGCCCAAACTATATTATGAAAACTCTTAATTAGATACTTAGCATTCCTGTTACGCGTTTTCAAGGCAATCTCCGCCAATATTTTAGAACGACGATCCAACAAGCCGTACCGTACCAATCGTTTTTTTTTTAACTTTTAGTTAAGGGCTTAAACACGAAGCTATGAGTTTTGGAGGGACTTTTATTAGTAAATAAAATACAGTTGAAATGCTTGCTTTGTTCCTTAATAAAGGATCTTACTGTAAATGAACTGTAGGGGGTACTGATATGACTGTCCACATGAGGGATTCATTGCGTGTGAGATCATGGATGTGATTTGCATTGCACTAAATTTCTTGATTACTTTATACTTTTTAACTTAACTTTTAAAGATTTATCTTAATTTAAYGTACTGTTAGTTAAAGAAACAATTAAAATTCATAAGAATCGATGATATGATTTGAWTACAGGTCGTCCTTACCTCCTCCAGTGCCAGTTCCAATCCCTACTCCACCGCCAGTGATCGTTCCAGTCCCGACGCCTCCGCTGGTACTCCCACCAACCCCTACTCCTCCCCCAGTACTTCCTCCAATCCCGATGCCTCCGCTGGTACTTCCACCAACTCCCACCCCTCCGCCAGTGCTTCCTCCAATCCCGACACCTCCGCTGGTACTTCCACCAACTCCCACTCCTCCGCCAGTACTTACTCCAACCCCTGCGCCTCCTCCAGCACTGCCGCCAACTGTTGAAATGAGAACAAAATAGAGTACAAACACTTAAACTGTGCAACATAATTACCACTAAATACTGCTAAATTATGCTAATTCTATTGTTTTCTATTGTTTGATTAACACTATTTTGTAGTAAATAGTGGAAAGTGTTGCACACATTTAATGTTTGTACTCTGTGATCTTTCAAACAGAATTCAAATGTTCATAGGTATAAATTTTTATTATAAATTATCYTTAATGAAAATTGCAATACTTCTGCCTTAAATCATTTAAAGAGAGTGAACGGTCTGAACCCAAATGTATGCGATGAAGGTGTAATTAGATTCACAACATTTCGGCATTCTGCGTGGAAGTTATCTTCAGAGAAACGTCAGGTAAACGAAGCGGCWGAGTAAAGATCACCTCTAAGTTGCATGTCGAAAAAAGTGGCCACAGCCTTTTCAAGACCTCTCTCAAMAGGTCGATCATTTCACCTTATTTGTTTCTCTTTTCTTTTATTGGCAAATTAAATTCATTTTATCATGTCCTCGAGGCTTGAATTTCATTTATTTTTTGTTCAATACAAAGTGAATTCCAAATATTTACTCACGTTTCTAAACAAATACCTACCTGAGTTGATCAGCGAAACGCATTGGCCAGATAAACCGGATARTTCTGCGTACTCAGCCGCTATTAAGATGTACTTTGCAGATGTGGCCATGACAGTCAGCTGTTCTCTATCAAAGCTAGCTCCCATTCCAACRCATAATATRCTTATCCCCATTTCTYTCATAGCGCTAGAAGAGAGTGCAACAGAATYCGTTGACTTTCCGGCMATCATCACGACTAAAACTCGTGCGACTTCAGCTCGAGCACTGGCAAACACKTCCGTTTTGCAAGTTCCTAAGGCAGCTCCTGCAGTGCAGGCACCYCCWATCATYGAAACTCCTTCTACTGCGGCTTTGACTTCTGTTATTGAGGTATATTTTGAAAATCCAAAGACGACGTTAGCTGARCCACCAAATATTACGAATGCAACACGAATTTGAGCGGAAACTCCGAGAGCTTCAAAAACGGCAACAATGAAAGACAGTGCCAGTTTGAAGTTTGCGTCGCCGTTGATACTAGTAGAAGTGTCAAGCAGGAAAGCAACGTCATAACCTAGAACAGAATTATGGTGTCATTTTTAAGCCCAATGATAAACTCTTGTATTGGATAATAAAATGTTTTTCTTTATCCGGCATAATCAGGCTCGGGGTAAAGGAAATTGTTTTAATATCACGAGAGTTTGATACTTTTATATGATTTGTTAGGCAGAGGTCTTCATTTATATAAGATTGACTTAATCGGCTAACGCGTTGCTATAAACGTTTCAGCTCAATACAAAACACCCGGCAGCAAGTTTCATTGTTCGTTGTATTTTCTTTTCACAGTTGAATTMTTAGCGACAAAAGTTATTTTTKCTCATAGGATTTGAATTGGGTGGTAACGTAAATGGAAWCTCGTTAGCAGATTAGGTCTTTTGACTTTTAAGGCTCTCACGTTTGCACTGAGAGCGTGAAATGTTTTGTACATTAGGAACAACGAACCTGCTGCGCTTCCAGATCCTCCAGCAACTCCACCAGCTCCTCCAGCAACTCCTCCTCCAGCGCCTCCACCTGCTCCACCTGCTCCTGCTCCACCACTTCCTCCCGCTGACAGTGAACCGCCACTTGCTGGAAAGAAATCAATTGTAAATTAATTCCAATTAAAGACGAATAAATAAATAATCGATTGTTTTACTTGCTACCAAGAAAAGGAGTCATATCTAAAAATATTTGCACGAGGTTACCCCTATGTTAAGAGCATGTAAAAATGTCATTCCTTAAGCACTTGTAATGAATTATTATTGTTTAGAAATCCCTTTCAGTCCGTCCTGTCCCGTTCGTTAATTCCTTAAAAAAAAAAAAAAAAAAAAAAAAAAAAACACCCTGCACACTGGTTATATATTACATACAGTGGAACCTTGACAATCCGGCTTCCGAAGTTCAGGGACATCAAAGTGTGGCCGTAATAACTGTGTGGCCGTATCAACGGAAGTAGAAAAGYATGAGGGTTTATATTGCCGGGAGCTAAAAATCTGTCCGTTATACGAAAGTGGCAGTAATAGGCTCTCGTTAAACGACAGCGGGGTTCCACTTTACAAGACAATTGGTCTTTACACATCATCTCCGTAAGAACAAGGTATGGTTAGAGGRTCAGGTATGCTTGATACAATGAATTTACTGTAGTAAAGCTATTAGAACATCACCTTGAATGATTAGCGCAGTACATTGACTTGTCATTCCTTCCAACTGGCTATATGCGGAAACGGAAAGCATATAAGACGAMGAATAYACCATTGCGCYAAGCTGTTCTTTRTCATATTTTTCCAAGCCAACCCCGACGATTTTAATTCCAGATTTCTTTAAAGCTTCWGCATGGGTAGTCACCGAATCTTCSGACTTTCCAGCCAAGAGAACCAAAAGTATTTTCGCAACRTCACTYCGAGCTCCACCAAAAAGCTCCCGYGCCGCGGATAGAGCAGAACCAGCTTTGCAACTGCCCCCAATCATTGAGATGCCTTGGACAGCGGTTTTGACCTCACTGATTGATGTGTATTTTGAAAAGTCGAACACTATACTGGCTCTGCTTCCAAATTGGATGAATGAAAAACGAATTTGTGCTGAAATACCAATGTACTCGTAAACAGAGACGATGAATGACAGACAAAGCTTGAAGTTTGCATCTCCACCAATAGATGTGGAAGTATCGAGCATAATTGCTAGGTCGCAGGAACCTAGAAAATTACATAATATTTTAATTTTTCATGATGTTATTTATGAAACCAGCTATTAGAATTCAGTGATAGAAATAATGAAATTTCTATGAGTGAAAAATGCTCATTCTCTAACCTGATACACCACCAGACCCTGCAGAACCTCCTGCTCCACCGGCGGCTCCTGCACCACCTCCACTGGCACTGATTCCACCCGCTATAAAAAAAGAGAGATTGTTAAGCATACTTTAAGATGAAGTACTCTTTTTGGTTCGTTTTTGAGCTACTGTTTTGACTATAGTATAACCAAAGTTTCAGAKAATGTTGATATTTCAAAGACAGTTGTTATGTTGTTTTTTGGGGCTAACACATTTAATGCTTTGGTTTGATCTGACATTTACTAATGATTTGAGCTTTTTTTGTTATGTTTTGTGTTGCATTTTTAACATTTTTGTCTTGGATCGACGCAGTGCATTTTTTAACTCGCAGTTCGCATTGGAATCTTTTCATTTATTTTTTTGTCACATTTCAAGGGGGAAGCATAAATGCTGTATTTATAATTCCCTTTCACATTGACATCTTAAACATAAAATTAGAAAATGTTTGTCTTTTGTGTCCACAATCTTTACTGTTGCACAGCTGTAATACAAAGATTTTCCCTCTTACAACTTAAAAAATTACCCAATATTATTGGCWTGTGTTGTTGATGTGCCTGTATACTATCTTATTAAATTTACCTGTACTAATTAGTGAAGTGATCTGCCCTTGCATYCCTGACAAAGCGCCAAAGGACGCCACTGTTAAAGCGTACGACGATTGCMATGCCATTCCTGTCACCTGTGCCTGTTCAAACTTTGCACCCATKCCCACTGCAATAGTTTTGACTTGCATTTCTCGAAGAGCTGTTGCACCCGCTGTTATGTCATCAGTAGATTTTCCAGCAATTAACACGACGAGAACCATTGCTGCYCCTTGTCGTGCGCTTRCGAAGAGAGATGATTTGCAGGTTGTAAGAGCTTTGCCTGCTGCACAACTACCGCCAGAAAGGGAGATTCCACTGAATGCTCCTTCAATCTTTGGACAAATAGCGATAATATAGAAAAAATGATGATCAACTCTGTCAGTTCAAATTGAGAAGGTCATTAAAGACGAAACATGTTTTTCAACTSTTTTGTTTTGTTCGCTACGTAAACAGATAAGCTGWTAATAAAAAGTTCCTATATCATAAAATGAAGATGATCATATAAAAACCATCATTGAAACACGATAAAACTAAGGAGGTATCAGGGCTGGGGTGGGGTGTTTTGGGGTGGCGGGCAGGGGTATTATTTCGGCTTAAAAGSAGCACAACTTCGACATTGTAATAMACGTGTACTTTAGCGATAAATCGTACTCCTTTCAGCCAATCAGACTKCAAGAAMCAACAGTGATTTCAAATTGAATACAATCAATAATTTWATTGAATGGTACCTGCGATGCCGAGGTATATTTCGCGAAGTCAAAAACCACAGTAGCCGWTGCACTGAAAGTAACGAAGCCAAAYCTCACTGATGACCCAAGACCAGCTGAGAACGCCATGAATACTGATTTGATGAACGTGATGCACAGTTGAAGGTTTGCTTCTCCATCAATGCTCGAAGAGACATCGAGCATAAAGGCAAGTTCACACTGTCCTGCAGAAATTGAGAAAAATTGAGTTTTATAGGCAATTATGAGACATTTACATAAAGTTGTATAGGGCTGTACGTCATTTCCTAAAATAACTAGTTGCACCGTAGCTGAAGGACAGCCCGCATGCACGCTACATTCAATTGCTCAAGACCCCAAACACGAAGATGAAGTAAAACACAAACAATCAGTCAACTGGTTACAGCTCTTCTCTCAAGAAAAGTTAACTTCCCATTGGAAATATCATCGGAAATACTATGCGCCCGCAGTAACTGCGATTACCCTGCCAATCATTTGGCGAAACCTTTATAATAAAAGAAAATATAGCAGATATACATACCTCCTGAT